TGGTGTAGTGTTCACAACAGGCAGGAAATGGAAGCACACTACATGTCCATCAACAGACGAAATGATAAAGAAAGCATAGTACACAGAACACAGTAGAATTTTTTTTTCAGCCATGAAAAAAAGAGAAATAATGACACCTGGCAGGGAAATGGGCTGAACTGGAAATCATTACATTAAGCCAACTAGGCCAGACTCAGAAAGACAGATGCCATGTTTTCTCTTGTATGCAGATTCGACACTTTGTCTGTGTGTATGTGTGTGTGTGTGTGCGCGCGCGCACGCTGGCACACATGCATGCATTTACATGGCAGTTAAGTTACAGAACCAGAAAGAGGACCTCAAGAGGACTAGATATCTGAGGGGGAAGGGGACAAATAGGGTAATGGAATATAAATCATGTGAAAAGAGAGGGGTCTGGGGAGAGGAAGGAGAGCAGCCAAGGGTGAGCAGACGGTCAAGTGATGGAGTCTAAGGACAAGTAAGAACAAAGTATTACGACAATTCCACAACTAGACCTGTGCTATACATGCTAGTTTTAAAAAATAAAACAATGGAAGTATCTCACAATGAAGACATCACTTAGATGGAAGTTCTTTGTCAGCCCTGGATGGGATGCTGCAGACGAAGGTAACAGCTTCCATTACCATCCTCTGAATGCATGGGTCAGAAGAGCACTCTTTTCTATAAAGCTGGTCGATAATAATGCCCCGTGTCTGCAGAAGTCCAAATGCTTTGCCAAGATCCCTCAGAGTTCAGCTCTAACAACCTTTTCAACCGCACCCTTTCTACACACATGCTAACTCAATCAGAAAAAAATAGGTCAAGAGTACACATCTCCTCCAAAAGTCACCTGATTTCTCCAACCTGATCTAAGTGCCTTTTCCTTACACCCAGTAAGACGCATTCCACGAATTTCCCCCACAGCATTTGTCATTTTCTACCTTGGTACCCAAGGGGGGTTGATTCCAAGACTCTCCACCACTCAGGGCACCAATACCAAAATCTGAAGCTGCTCTGATTCTTTATATAAAATGCCAACATTTGCATGCAAGCTACGCACTTCTTAAACACATTAAATTAGCCCTAATACCTATCTGAAGGCCGATGTTTTCTAAACAGTAACTGTGTTGTATCATTTAGGAAATAATGACAATAAAGATAAATACATACATGTTCAGTTTTTAAAAATATTTTCGGTCTGCAGTGAGTTGAATCCACGGACGAGGACCCTGGGATACAGAGTAGATTATCTATTTGTAGATAGTTTAGTTCTCCCTGCATATTCCGGGGGTTCTAGACCCTTGAATCCATTTCTTTAGACCAAATAGGCAGCTTTCAAACAGAAGTACAACTACAACTAAGCCCATTTCGATAGAAAAATAGATTCTAGCAAATTGTAAGCAGGAAACTCAAAGCCCACACACTGTCCACGATGCCTGATGCCTTTCATGGCTTCCCTCACAAACACGTTAGGCCTTCGAGTCCCTTCTTACTGCATTCGCTGTGATTTATCTTCAAATACATCCCAGGCCCAGCATAGCCCTCTACCAGAGAAGGGATTTAACGACTGTTGAGCAAATAAAAGATCCCATTAAATCTTTTGGCCTCCACAGCTCATAATTCCTCCACTATAAAACTGGGAATAGCACAGAGCCCAGTCACACACAGGGCAGAGAAGAACTTAGTTCTGACTGTGCTTGGCACTTCTGCTCCAGGCACTCTTTTAAGCATTGAGGGGATCTGCATAAAAAGCCTATGATAGTTATTAAGTCCGCTTTGAAGTGGGACAAGCTAAAGCCCAGTAAATTTGCTGTGGTTAACAAAGATTCTGGAATGCGGTAGTAAAAAGTAAATCCAGGATCCTTGCCCTCACCCAACATCGACTACTGCTTCTAGGCCCTAGAATATCAGACGGAAAACCATCAGAAACAGCAAAACAAAAAGCCAACCAAACAAACAAAAAACCTTTTAGGATGCGGTAGGTAACAACATAAAATAATACATGGTGTGTGTGTGTGTGTGTGTGTGTGTGTGTGTGTGTGTGTGCACGCATGTGTGTAAATGGTACTACTGGTTACTTCTGAAAAGATGGACACAGTGCACATTTATAAAATAAACAAAATAAATGATTTCATCTCATCAACCAAACTTCATTAACATAATTTAAAAAAACTCTCGGAAAATGGAAAAGGAATGTATTTGGAATAAAGATGGAATACCTACAAATAATTTAAAATTAAAATTAATAAAAATAAAATGGGCAGAGCATGCATATAAAGTTATACAAAAGGAGGCAGATGGATCTCTGTGAGTTCGAGGCCAACCTGGACTATAAGAGCTAGTTCCAGGACAAGCTCCAAAAGCTACAGAGAAACCTTGACTCAAACAAACAAAACAAACAAACAAACAAAAAGTCATTACTAAATGCATAAATAGCACACATTTCTACTGGAGAAACTTGGTAATAGAAAGATGGTCCTTTTTCCAAAACTAATCTTGATAACACAATCTCAATTCAATTTACTCCATGAAGAAGCAATAGGGTTCAGCAAATGCACATCTGCACGTAGATTGGTGCAATCTTAGGAGATAATAGCAGGGTATCCCCTTTGACAGGGGTTAGCAATTCTCCTTCAGCGAGTACACCTCGCAGAAATGAAGAGCTACGCTACTTAAAATCAGCAGGTATTTTTCACTTAAATTCTATTTGTAATAAAAGTGTGGGGGTGTGGGGGGATAATTGGAAGGGAAGGACAACTACATCGAGGAAAATGCACATAAGTGACCATTTTATTTTTATAGGGAATATAATTAATGAAAGTGATCCGAGAACCATGGGAGAAGGAGGTTTCCTGCTGGCTTTCACATGCCTGTGAAGAACATGTATGATGTCAATGACCTGTGCTCAGCATTTCACTCAATACTGAGTTTTGTGCCAAGCACATGGACACTGCGCAGGGCAGCAAAGAAACTTAAACCCTCTTTAAATCCCTAATTTAAATTGTTATATTTATGACACATCTTATATTTCTATGTTTGTGGATTTTTATTAATGTTACATTAATTCTTACATATTATGTTGAGACAGGGCCTTGCTATGAAGCCCAGACTAGCCTGAAACTTGAGATTCTCAACCTCCCTAAGACAGAGATTGCAAGCCTGTTCCACATGTCCAGCTGTTTGCTTTTTTATATATTTTGGTGTCATGGCTCTGTTATTTTAATTACTGAGACTTTATAACATGTTTTATTAATTAGGCATTTTTTATCACCCATCATACTTCTCCTGGCTTTTAAAAACAACTTTAGTCTACAGTCATACCACCCCGAATGCCTCCAATCTTGTCTAAAAAACAGCTTTATTGCGACACACTTTACTGAAACAAAATGTACCATTTAACTGTATATTTTAAAGTTTTGACAAATTCATAGATAACTAACATCACGATTTTTAAAAAATTGATAAAAGTATTTTAAAGAGTGTTTAGAATTATAACTAGGAAAACCATAATAAATGTACTTCAATTAAAATATGGGGAAAGAATGAATATTCCATCCATATAAATGCAAAAGACTAATACACTGGAAATTAGGCATTGATTTCTAGGGATAAAGCAACATTAAAACTATATGCCATTATTCTACATTATTAACATAAAACTTTAAATGTAAAAAATTAAAATAAACAGAATCTCATCAATCTAGAAGATGTAGCTTTATTTTTATTTTGCTATTTTTTTTTTGCTTCATGATTATCATTTCCATTTTTTCCTGATTCTCATATTAAGCGAAAGACACCCGTTGCTTGCTCTTCTGACCTCTTCTGGCCTTTGTTGGGGTACATAGACCCTTTAGAAAGGCGCCCTCAAATAACTATTTCCTTTACAAGATTTCTCTTATTGAAACCGAGGCGTGCGCTCCAGGGCGCACACACCTGCAGATTTTGCGGAGAGTCCGCCTAGTGAGATCACCTTTGAAGCCGCGCCGTGGTCCCCAGGCAGAGACCAAGGGCTAAGCCTGAAATGCCAGGTTACAGTGACCTGCGAGGGTTCGGCCCCCACGACACCTCCCGGAGCGCAGTGCGGCACGAGCGACGCCTGGGCACGAGAGCCAGCGTGAGGGCTGAGGCACACCCATCCTTCCTATCACTTTGGGGGAAAAAAGATTTTTAAAGGTGAACCAGAAGCCTAGCACCTAGTGGTTGCCGCTGACCTTGGGGAGTCCCCGCTGCCCTCCGGCCTCAGTTTCCCCACCTGCAGGCCGAGACTGCCCGAGTCCATCGCAGTGGCGTTCCAAGCGCGGGCGTTTCCGGGAGCTGGAACTCGGGTCACCTTCGCGGGAGGACGCGCCCCACCGTGGACGCGCGGAGGGGCCCCCGCTCCCGGGCAGCCATTAGGCGGCAAGGCTCGGGTTGCCCGCGCGGGCCGACTCTGCGGGGCTGCTGGGCGGCATCTCTCGGCCTGGTGACA